TACATCAGGTAGTGTTAGTGGATCAGGCTGGTCAAACACTGAAATTTTTTATAAATATCTTGGTGAACATTTTATAAAATATGCCCAAGGATTAACTGATGACCAGCCTGTTCTACTGATTTATGATGGCCACAAATCACATGTAGCTTTAAGTGTAATTGAATGGGCAAAGGCTCACAATTTTATAATTTTAGTTTTGCCAGCCCACTGCAGTCACATTCTACAACCATTAGATGTTGGCTGCTTTGGGCCCCTCAGCAGAATTTTAGATAATTCCTGTCATAAATATTTACGTGAACATAGAGAACCAATCAATAGGTACAATATTGGTTAACTTGCTACAGATGCATATGTGAAGGCTTTGTCGCCACATAACTTAAAAACTTCCTTTGAAAAAACAGGAATATATCCATTGGAAAAAACTGTGTGCCTGCCATCACATTGCTTCCGTCAACTTTATTTACGACAGACACAGTTGACCCTGACAACGCTGTACAAAACAAACAAACTAACCATGACAGTGAGAATTCTCCATCTGTTGACAGTGACGCTGGACATGTCTTACCTGACACTGGACTTGACTTACCTGACGCTGGACTTGACTTACCTGACACTAGACTTGACTTACCTGACACTAGACTTGACTTACCTGACACTGGACTTGACTTACCTGACACTGGACTTGACTTACCTGTCACTGGAAACATCACATTGATTGATGAGGCAGATCCATTGCCTGACGACGATGAGACAGACATCTCGACGAATAACGAAATACAGAAGAGTCCAGCTGTTTTTTTCAAACAGTGTGAGAAAAATGTTGGTATTGTAAAAAAACAAGCAAAAAAGAGGAAGTATTTGTCAAATATTACCTCTGGTAAAGCTATAACTGCGGATGATGTTATGGCTGATATTGTAGCACATTGTAAAAAGCCAAAGAGTACACAAGTTATTAACAAAAAGAAACCAAAGAGTGTAAATAATACAAGTAAATGTAAAAAAACTAAAGCATGTGTGGAAAACAATGTTAACATGGTTAAGGTTACTAAACCTAAGAAAGCAAAAGAAGTTAAAGTTGTTGCTAAAGCAAAAAAATATGTCACCAAAACCTGGTACTTCTGGTTTACAGAAACTGGTTATTTCAGATGATGACTCATTTGATGACACATGCAGTGTTGAAGATACTGATGAGTCACCATGTTGTGTATGTAAGAAACGTTTCCCAGAAGCATTGAGACAGTGTGTGTCTCTTGTTTTTGCTCAGTGGGGTAAATGTATGTATCCTCAATGTGACCACTGGACCCATCTGAGATTTTGTTGAAATGTGAATGTTCTTAGGCGTCATAGTATTTTTTATTGTCCATGCCATGGACTTCCATGTCTAAAGTATAAAAGAGTGATATGTGAAAAGTGTATAAATAGTCAAATAAAGATATCAAAATAATATTTCATATCTCATAGTTGTATATGTTACCATTTAATTCCTTAAGTCATAAGTTTGATCCCCTCTTGCACTTTAAATAATTTGATATATACATTGGCATCAAATTATAATCAATTCCGGATTTGTACGACATGTCATTTCCGACTTTGGACCCGTTTATTAGATAGGTCAAAAACACAAAGGTGACATCGATCTAATGAACTCAAATAAAAAAAAATATTTAAGATCGAAATATATTTCAGATACAATTATTTTATGCACATGTATACTAGTGACTCCCAAAATATTAGGCATGTCTGGGTTCAACCAGATAAAAGGGGAATTCGGAGAAATGTGTTAGTAGGTCGAAAATACAATACACGAGGATACTAATGAAGAATCAAGTGTTAACAATATGTTTACAAATAATAATATAAACGTGTCGCGAAAATTTGTATTTTTCGTACCAATTTTTTGTAATTTTGGCAGGTCCCTTCTCTTCCTTTTGTTTTTAAAATGACATAGATATGCGATTAAAACTTTATTATTTGTGATACTATTACCAATTGAGTAACTCGATTTATAACTCGAATTCTAACTCGAACTCACACTCGAATTGTGACTTGAAATCAAAGCTCATATCAAAATGTGATTGGAAGTGTAATAGAAAACAGCTCGAAGCATCAGTCGAACTTTAAATCGACCTTCAGCTCGAACTCAACTCAAACTCTATCTTGAACTTAAACTCGATGATAAGTCACTTGTTCTTCTAAAAATGTGGATTGTGAATGGTATTATTTCAACAATTTTTAATAGAAACATAATAAATAACGAAATTAGAAGCTGAGATGATGCACATCGTTTTATACTTTTTAGGCAGAATGCAGCAAACGAAAACACGGCTGAATATAAAAAGGTTAACACGACTTTCTCTTTCTGTAGGATTATTTCCCACTTTGTGGATTTTTTTCTTCAAAATACTGTGGCCGGGTGAAGATATCAAATGTATCTTTCCGTGGATTTAAACAAATGAATTAAAAGCACTCTCTGTATTGGTGTTTTGGATTAAAAGTCCACATTATAACCGGATGTAACTTCATATTCATGCATTCTATACAGCCGAACTGTCTCGGAACTTAAGCAATAGCTTTATTGCCGGATTGCATAAGTCAAAGGCATGAGTATATTTATCACCTGAGACTGAAAATGCACAGATGGGAGTGATCATAACCTGTAAAACAAATTTAGCAGACATTTCGAATGCTATCTACGTAAACGGATTATTTTTCGAGTAGACAATCAAGCTGACTTTATCTGTGGCAGACCAGACTTATGTTTGCTTTTCTAGGACAGCTACAGTCCTTTCGAGATACCTGCCCCTAGATCTGTTGACGGATCTGCCCTTTACCAGTTCTAACGACAGGTCTGCGTTTGATCGTTCATGAGGACAGATCTGCTTCTGACAGTAAGCTGGTTTGTCTTTTTAACAGTGCAACCAATACATGCAATATATTTTTCTATCTTTTTTTAAAGAACATCAGAATATTTTTTTAAATGTTTATATGGGAAAACAAGGACATTTTGTAATATTTCACCAATCGATGCCAAATTCTCCTGATCTTAAGTTTTATAAATCTTGGTGCGGACCAGATTTAAAGTTTACTTTGAAGTAGAGTTGGTTCGATCAGCTGTATCAGGGTCGAAATTAAATTATGTGCATCAATGGTTTCAAAGTTAACTTATCCCTAAGATAACTACAGTATCGACCCTGTTTAAAGTTCTCTTTTTCATTGTCATGAAAAAGAGTCCTAGGACAAGTCTGCTTTTTATGTTATCTTGACATAGGTCATAGGACCGCACATATATGTTGTGCTTTGACAAAAATTAAAGTGACAAATACTTCTAAATGCCCTTAAATTTCCACATAAAATAGCTTTTCTTTGAACACATGATAAATAGGATCGATCGAATGTATTTATTATTTTGTGATGATCATGCAAACCTTTTATTTGCATACTAAAATCTAAAACATTAATATTTGGTAGGGACAGTTTAGTTAATGATTTAACTCGAAACTATTGAAATAACATTTTACGATATCAAAGTTGATACTAATATTTCGACAAATAATGCCTGTTCAGTGATGCTTCAACACCGAAATATACATTTCCCTTCAATTAATCAAAGGACAAATAGCCCTAAGTTTAGTTATTGTACTTTTAACTGAATTCAATTAAGCTAGAAATGTTTTATTCAAATATATGGAAGAATACCGATTTTATCCTGATCACAAATCAATAGAACAGAGATATCACTTCTTACTGAAAAGCATTAAAATACGGACATGCGTTATGAACACGACGTTGACTGTAAAAATCTAAAAGAAATTAATTAATTTGCATTCATTTGAAAATAGATGAAATGATTTTATCAAATCTGTATTCAAATGACTAATGACGGATTAATTTTCAACAAATTATCAACCCTTTGTTTAAAACGAAACACAAATTCAAATAATTACAAGTCATTTGATCCTTCGAATTTAACAAAAAAAGATGAACATGTTTAATATACTTCAATAAAATTGCCAAGATTGCTGAAAGTGGCGTAAAACACCTACAATACACCAATCAATCAATCATGTTATTTCATCATTTTTCCATTAACTTTAGTAATAGCAATCATAACAGGTGGTACAGGCCAGTCTTAGTATTCTAGGAAATGTACAGCAGCAGTGTCAGTCAAGCATATAAAGGCAGTTTGCAGTGTTCTATACGATTTTTCTTCTTTAAAACCAAATTAAAGGTGATATCAAATTATTTTATGACATTGACATTGGCTGATTGTTTTTAGATGTCTCATTATGTCACATATATATTCATGCATTTTGTCGAAGAATTTATGATCAGATCGACGAAATTTTCAGAATAAAAGTTTAATGTATTATCAAAAAAATAATAGACTTCAAACACAGACGTCAATCAAGCGAGCAAAACAAACTTATCCCGTCTAACATTATTTTCTGTTTTAAGAGAAGTGAAGTGCAGTTGAAGTGCAAAATTCTGTATTTGTGAAGTAACGGAGGTTTTTCTTTCAGAGGTGTTAAAATGTATTCTTCCTTCAACCCATCAACAAAAGTGAGTGAGGCGAAAGATACCAACAGGACACTCAAACTCATTAGTCGAAAATAAACTGACAAGGCCATTGCAAAAAAAGAAATAAGACCAAAAGACATACAACAGCATATATATATACAAAACACACCATTGAAAACTAAAGACTGAGCAAGACGAAGCCCACCAAAAACTGGTGGTGAATTCAGGAGCTATGGAAGGATAAGCAGATCATTCTCTACGTGTGGTGTGGCTTCCGTTAGTGATACTATAACTATTAATGATAGCTTTCACCTTAGTTTCAAAATAGTTTTTAAATATAAATAAATTTACACTACAGTGTTGGTAAATGTAATTGGATATCATGCATTTATCATATTTTATCCCAAATAAAGATCAACTTCGTCTTGCATACTATGTTATAAGCCTGGTATCCTTTATTATTATTTTTTTTATATTTGTAGTAATATCTAGACAAAATGAATAGCATCCTGTTCATCACAGCTGTTAGTCTTTCAATGTTTTCTCTACATGATGCTCAGGTTACAGTTTGTGATGTATGTTTTTGTTCGACGACTGAAATATCGTGTCGAAACAAAAGATTAGATGTGATACCTCAAGGAATTCCTATAGACACAATATCTTTGTAAGTTTTCAATTTTGCTTCTATCAATTAAATTTGGACAAAAAAAAAGCCGATGAATGGGTACTCGTCAATGAGACATTATTTATTAACAATCAGTCGACCGCCGCAGATTTTGCAATAGCATGGCGATGAATTACCATGCAATAAAGCGATTGCATGAAAATAGCAAAAAATAGATATCTTATCTAAATTATCGAGATATTTCATTCCTTGTTTTGTCTTTCGTCATTTAAAACACTGATTTTGTATATTTTAGCGAATTTTTATTAAAAGTAGTCTGAATTCGTAAAAAATTCAGCAATCCTATCTTTTTTTCATCTTTTCATGACATGCATATTTTTTAATTCTTCATTTACACAATATACTGTATCAAACATCACAGCAAAAGACATAAGATCAAAATTTGCTTCGCTAAAAAATCTTTTAAATGTTTTCAATTTCCTGGTTGAGGGTACCGGATTGAGATAAGTTACTGTAAAAACAATTATACTGGATAATTGTATGACAAACGTTTTATATCAATATAGGTCTAGAAATCCATTTTTATCTACATCCGCCAACCTCAATACATAAGTGTGGTTGAGTCGTCCTCTGCAGCTGCTACGAACATGGAGCGCAATCATTTTCATTGCATCAGATGACCACTTCGTCAACGAAAGTTTCTTCGTGGATACCTTATGCCAAATAGTTTGGAAACCCAAAACCTTAGAAAAGAGTTTAACAAATGATGTAATCGACAACTTCCAAATACAGATAAAAAAATGTACAAGAATTCTTAGCTTTCCTTGAGGGAGATGCATTCCAAATTTTTAAATTGTTTTCTACTTGAAAATCTTAAAATTATCTGTATTGTTCATGACAGCATGGAAGCAATGAACAGAACTCATCTCATGATACCGTCAGGGCCTAACAGTCCACATTCAGATGTATCAATTGGTCAATGAACTAATCAGGCAATTCAAATGTTTAACTGTAGTTTAAGCATGAAAATAACGTAACTATGTCATTAAATCAAGATAGCCATTAATGATTCTTCCGCTTTCCGCGTCTATTCTTATGAAGTTTTTATCAAATATGTGACAGTATAATAAGAGTATTTATAGTACCTTGTTTAATTTGTAGAGATCTCAGTCTTAACAAAATCTCCTCTCTAGAAAATGGTTCTCTGGATGGATTGTCATCCTTACAAACGTTGTAAGTACATGTTGTCTAGCTTTTTAAAGAAATAATTTGGGGAATTGAAATTCCAAGTATAGCCAAAATAGACGACGTTTCACAGTTTTGATGGAGTTAAATACAATGTCCTATTTATATTTCATGTGTGAACGGAGACACTAAACTGTTTGGCTGTTGTTAATAGTATAACAGTAGAAATATTGGACTTTTAGATGTTGTTAACAGTATAACAGTAGAAGTATCGGACCTTTAGATGTTGTTAACAGTATAACAGTAGAAGTATCGGACCTTTAGATGTTGTTAACAGTATAACAGTAGAAGTATCGGACCTTTAGATGTTGTTAACAGTATAACAGTAGAAGTATCGGACCTTTAGAAACCACTAACAATAAAAGTAAACAAAATTCTGCATCAATGCATATATTGATAAATAATTTTCTCTTTGAATTTTGTGTAAAATCCCTGAACTCAAAATTGTAATGAATGGAGGAATAACCGATATAAAATGTCAAAAGAGGACAGAGCTAGTTCTTTCCGAAGGTATGCATAATTTTGGGTTAAAGTTAAATTTTTAGTTATTCTGGAAAATACATCTGGAAGTATTACATATCTAATTTGACTTGAGCTGACGTCTTGACTGCTATCGCATAATTTGATTTACTTCATCTGTTTTCTTGACTGTTCAGATCAGCCCTTCAACTGGTTGAAATAATTTAAAAGCAGACGAATTCCGATGTCTGGTATTAAAATGCAGACTTATCCTCCAATTAACTTTGTATAAAGTAAACTTATTTACACTTACGGCCATATATCTTGTCGATACTTAAATTTTTGGCGTCGCCTTATTTTTACAGTTTGTTCTTATTTTGCGCTGTTACACCATTGTCCCAGGTTAGGGGGAAAGATGAACGCAAACATGTTTCAACCCCGCTGCATTTCTGTAAGGGCCTGTCTGAAGTCAGGTAACATGTAAATTAGTGGTTTTGTTTGGTTGCTGTCGTCATATTTGTTTTTTGTTCATTGTGTTATTATTAATCAGGCCATTCGATTTCTCGTTTGAACGTTTTTACATTTTGTCACGTCGTGTGCTTATAAAGCTTACTGGACGATATGAGTGTTGTTCCTTGTTAAATGACGTACGGTTACCTATAGTTGCTAACATCCACGTCATTTTCTCTCCAATGGATAGTTGTCTCATCGGAATTCATAACCAATCTCCTTATATATTTTTATTATAACCCAGAACAACGGTCCTTAATTTATCTTTATAAACCTATACGTGCATAAGTTGTAAGTTTTAAAAATTCAATATTACATTACACATGACATAGTGAAAAACAGGAAAAGTAGAAGAAAGACAGAATACACCATTACCGAAGAAAATGGAGAACAAATAAACAAAAGAAAATAAGACGCATTCATTGTGTGTCTCATCTCAAATGCACTACAGTAGCAACACATAAGATGCATTCATTGTGTGTTTCATTTCAAATACACTACAGTACCAACACATAAGACGCATTCATTGTGTGTCTCATTTCAAATAAAAAACCGGTGATTAGTCGCATTTGGTGACGTTATCAATGAGAAAAGGAGCATATGATTGTGGCTACGACAAGTAAAACATAACATCTATGACATTATATATATTTATCAACAGTTAACCATATTATGAAAGCGTCCGTTTTACTTCTTTATGTTCTTTAACATTCTATTAAGTAGCCTTGGTTAAGTTGTTTTCTCTCAATCAGCAATCCGCCATCGAGGAAAATCTGATACGCAAGCTCAGGGATATTACTTGGAACATATTCCATATGAAAGACCTGCTTGAAAATTGCTGCACTGAATTTGAAAGTTAACAGGATCGCCATGGGAAAATCGAAATAATATAATATCATGTCTTGTTCACTGCATAGGATCTGTATCGGATGATGATGATTACGAGGAGGAGGAGGACGACTGTTTAACGTGCAGTGGCAATTCAGGACGAGAACATGTTAATGTGATATGAGTATAAACCCTTCTTTATACTAGACTGACACACTTAGTGGGATATTTGACGTGTTAGTTAACAAGTTACCACTCCACAGGAAGCCATGTCCACCTACTCAGACACATTAAGTTGACTTCTGGTCTACCAGTCTTTACTCTTACTCCTAAGGAAGTGTGCTAAGTGGAGAATACCAAGTACCAATTAGTTGGTTGATATGCTTTATTGTACCCTCCAGTGTTTTGACTTATTCCTGTTATCCTTTTTACGTGTTATGAATAATTCACATTAGGGATACATCAACATTTTTTTCCTTCGTTGTCAAATAAATAATGTACAAAGTAATTCTAATAATATGCAATACTTTTTAGAACCATTTGTAGACGAAATGAAAGCTTACGAAACAGACTGTTTTCAATATAACATATATATATATATATATATATATATATATAAAATAAATATTTTACACTAAAATTAATGAACCAAAATATTTGGATAATACGCAATATTTTCAAGCACTTGGCAGAACCATATGTAGACGAAATGTAAATATAAGCTAGCGAAACAGATTGATTTCAATCTAATATATATAACATGCCTGCAAAATGTATAACAACTTAAAGATATTATGCAATAGTAATGCAGAAGCTTCCAAAAATGGGAATTTCTTAATCGATTAAAGTGTACAGACCCATTTAGTTAATACGTAGCAGGGTTTTGCACATGAACATATATAAGTTAAAGACTGCACCTGAGATCACCCCTGGTTTTTGGTAGGGTTCGTGTTGCTCAGTCTTTGGTTTTTTATGCTGTGTTTTGTATACTGCTGTTTGTCTTCTGGTCAATTTGTTTTTTGCCATGACGTTGTCAATTTGTCTTCGATTTATGAATTAGGATATCCTTTCAGTATCTCCAGCCTCTCTTAAAAGGTATGTATACTTTACATGCTAAAGCTTTGTACCAATGTTAATGTGTTTCATTTTAATGATACTATTTTGCAGACGATTGGAAGCTAATAAGATAAGTTCTTTAGAGTATGGTGATCTTGATGGATTTGCATCCTTAAGGAATTTGTAAGTGTTTCAAATCCAATGTTATTTGTAATAAAACTTCTTATGTACTGTCTCGTTTTTATCGGTTTTCACTTTTAAAGAGAAAAGTGTCTTCGATAGATTAGTTTTTTTTTTCTTTCAGGATAACAGTTTTATGTGCTTTTTTCTTAGCAAATCCGGTATTTCATTTAAGTGTAAGAAAAAAAAAGATATAGGTAGTAATGAAGTTTCCATTAGATATGATACTGTTTAATAAGGTTATTTAAATTGTAGAGATCTAAGGTATATGTAAACCCATTGTATGTCATAATATAGATGCAAATAAATAAGAGGAAAACAACGGAACAGCAAAAACACTGAACTGCTACAAATACAAACACCCACATACATAGAAACGGACTATTTGATAACAACTGCCATATTCCTGATTTGGAACAGGCCATTTTAAGAAAAAATGGTGGGTTGAACCTGGTTTTATGGCTAGCCAAACCTCCCGCTTATAAGGCAATGTTAAAAATACCGCTAAAATGACAACCTTACGTGACAGGAATACATTACAACTAAACGCAAGAACACTCAGGACAGAGACATACATAAATAAATATATATATACATTACAACATGTAAACCACAGAATGAAAGAGATAGAATGAAATTAAACATCAAGAATAAATAAAGAAACAAGTTTGATCGAAAATCATCTGCATAAAGAAATTTCTTATCTCAATCTTCTTGTCGTGATCAAGCCATGATTTTAAGTCAAAATATCCAATATACAAAAGAAACGAAACGATTCTATTTTACACGACATTAAATTTTACAGAGATATAGGTAAAAATGAAGTGAATTTCATAGAAGAAGGTGCCTTTTCAGAATTGATGTCTCTAGAGGAGCTGTAAGTACCTGAAATATCTAATACTTAATCAAAGTCATAGCAAAAGAATAATTTGGTTTTTTTTTAATATTTACATTTCCTAATAAAGAGTACAGGGATACATATGAATTTCTGTGATAAGTTTATATCTTGAATAATTGTATGACAAAAGAGAAGCGAAATATACCAAAGTCACATTCAAACTCATTAGTCGAAAACAAACTGAATGGTTTTAAACTAGTCATTTTTGGGGCCCTTTATAGCTTGCTGTTCGGTGTGAGCCAAGGCTCCGTGTTGAAGGCCGTATTTTGACCTATAATGGTTGACTTTTACAAATTGTGACTAGGATGGAGAGTTGTCTCATTGGCACTCATACCACATCTTCTTATATCTATTGACAACGCCATGGCAAAATAGGGAGAAAAAAAAAAACAAAAAACAAACAACATTATACAATACACAACATAGAAAGACTGAGCAATACGAACCCCACCAAAAATCTGGTTGATCTCACGTGCTCCAGAAGGGTAAAGGGTACGCAGATGTTTTATATCAATCTAAGTCAAGAAATTCAAGTTTGTCTTTATCACCTCGCTATCTACATTTGAACCGTTGACTTATCCTCTACAGTTACTATGAGTATTTCCCGTCATCATATTTACTGCACTAGATGATCATAGGACAACACATGTTTCTACAGGGGCGCGAGGTCAAAATATCTGGAAAACCAAAATCAAAGACAAAGTTGCAAAATGATAATTTTATCCACAACTACAGAATATCAAGGCAAAATCGTACACGAAAGTACAGATTAGCTTAAGTGAGATTCATTTCAATATTTCGGCTGATTTTTAACAGGAAATGTAATAAAACATATCCGTATTTTCATGACAGTACAGAAACACTGAAACGGTGGTCTAATGATACCCTCAAGGACTAGCAGTCAAAAATCATAAGTATCAACTGGTTCTATGTTAATGTGCTAATTGGGTATGCCAAATTATTCAATGTAGTTTAAGGTGCAAAATAAAGTAATATTTTCATTTAATCAAGATAACCTCTAATGATTCTTCCGCTTTCCGTTTCTATTCTTATGAAGTTGCCATTAGATATGAGACTGTTTAATAAGGTTATTTAATTTGCATAGATCTAAATGGTAACAATATCTCCTCTATAGAAAATAATGCACTGTATATTTATAACTGCACATGCTTATTTACCAAACATAACTTCAAGGGAACTATGAAACCGTTAAAATAACATCAGTAATCAGTATAACAATAATAATAGGGATAAATGGCCCCACGTATCCAAAGCCAAACAACTATGACACCTAAATTGAATAATTTTGTCAATATAACGGAACTATAAACAACTGTCATACAAGTGGGAGGTTAAGCCCACTATTTTCTTCGGAAAACGTCTGTACCAATTCAGGAATATGATAATTGTTTTTCATTAGTTCCGTTGATTGATAGCGTTTGATTTTTTGTCGTTTTTTATGGACTTCCCCTTTTTGAATTTCCCTTGGAGTTCGGTATTTTTGTTTTATAAATTGCAACTTAATCGGACAATACTTTCATTTTTTATGATTCACTAAGCTTTGTTATACTATAAGAGTTATCCTGACCAGTTTTATAACTATACTGAGTGCCTGTAGAAACGGAACACGTCATATCCCAAGCCCCTTTAACCCTTGTTTGAGTTCAAATCCAAATACTTTACTTCAATGCGTTCATCAAACATTTAACTACACGTTACTTAAACATTTTGGTCTCATATCGAATTCGTTTAGTTCATAAACCTGCGCTTAGTCCCATAGGTATCAAAATCAAAATTCACAAATGTTCATCTAAATGTGATAGCACTGGACCGTATACAAAGGAAAACTGTTAATCTTCATTATATCGTTTTATAAGATTTGTTTTAAGGGGTCATCATGGTGGGAAATTACCTTCCAAAGTTTAGAGTTTTCATGTAAAGGATCCTGATGTTTACGATGTCTATTATAATGTTATTGTTTCTTATTCATATGTACATCATTAATAGACCATTGTTTCGATCTACAATGCACTTTTGTATACCCTACCACCTTAATGACAGGTATTGTGACATCTATTAATTTGCTAATCAAATACTTCCATTTTTGATGAATTACTAAGCATTGTTATACTATAAATAATCATCTTGATCTGTTTTAAAATAACATTAAGTGACATTAGATACGTAACAAGTCATATTCCAATCCTCTTTTGGTCTCTCTTTGAATTCAAATACTACAACTTTATCATGTTCATGTTAATGCATTCATCAAACATTTGGCTACCATGTTATTTGAACAGTTTGGCTAAGTATCAGCCGCAAACTTGCGATAAGTCCCATAGGGGTCATAATTAAAACTCATGATTGTTCATTCAAATGTGTTCACAATAGATCAAATTGAAAATTGTTAATCGTCCTGACGTTGTGATAAACTTTACTATAAGGGTTCATTATGATGAGAATTTGCCATTCAAAGTTTAGATTTTTACATGTAAAAGATCATGGCGTTTTAGATGTTTATTCTAGTTATATTTTCGTATCGATATGTGCACCATTATGTCGTCAGAGTTTCTGTCTACAATGCAGACCACAACACCATACCAAATTATTATTGGTGCATATCTGTCATGTTGGTGTTTTTTTCGTAAATTGAATTGTGATAAATAATGCCGTTAGTTTTCTTTTTTAAATTGATTCACATTTTTCATGTCGGGGCCTTTAATAGATGACTATACGGTTATCTGTTGGATAGTTGTCTCAAGTCTCAATGGCAGTCATACCACAGTTCTTCAGTTTGAATTTCAACTAACTCAGTTACTGCGAGTATTTTAAGATCGGCACTTGTTGTCGATTGACTTTCTGATTTTTTTGTTTATTTGCTTTTTTGTGTTTTGTGCCGATCTCATGAATCAATCCGTTTCTAACTGTTTTGACATAAAGAGATGTGGTATGAATGCCAATGAGACAACTAACCACCAAAGTTCAAATGAAGTGGATGTTAGCAACTATAGGCAACCGTACGGCCTTCAACAATGAGAAAAACTCATACCGTATTTTCGGCTATAAAAGGCCCTGACATGAAAAATATGAAACAATTCAATTGAGAAAATAAATGGCCTTATTTATAACAAAATAATTTACGAAAAACAAATATTCTAGGGTAGACCTGTCAGAATCAGTTCTAAGGTAGAACTGTCAACAACTGATCTTGGATAGAATTGTCTTAAACCGTTCTAGGGTAGAACTGTCTTAATCCGTTCTAGGGTAAACTGTCAGAATCTGATCCTGGTAAGAACTGACTAAAATTGATCAAGGGTAAAACCCCAAAGGTGTCAGGAGAACAGTTCACATGACAAGTGCCTTACAAATTTTAAGGCCGGTTAAAAATGATTCCAACTGTTTGTACAAAACAAAGAGACGACCTATTCTTCAAATTAGTAATCATAGTAAAATCTTTTAAAGATAGTCATTTGTTAAAGTATTTTCCCGTATATTTTTGAATACCAAAACAGACATTTTGTTTAAATATGTTGATATTGAAAGTTCAGGTAACAATTAATTAGTCGACCGGAATGCTTGCAAACTTGTGGAAAATAAGTACAGTTCGGGACATTGTATCATGTTCATGGCTACCTGGAATAGTTGGAAATAAGTACAGTTCGGGACATTGTATCATGTTCATGCAAACATGTGGAAATAAGTACAGTTCGGGACTTTTTATCATGTGCATGCAAACATGTGGAAATAAGTACAGTTCGGGACATTGTATCATGTTCATGCAAACATGTGGAAATAAGAACAGTTCGGGACATTGTACATGTATCATGTTCATGCAAACTTGTGGAAATAAGTACAGTTCGGGACATTGCATCATGTTCATGCAAACATATGGAAATAAGTACAGTTCGGGACATTGCATCATGTTCATGCAAACATGTGGAAATAAGTACAGTTCGGGACATTGTATCATATTCATGCACACTTGTGGAATTAAGTACAATTCGGGACATTGTATCATGTTCATGGCTACATGGAATACTCTAAAAAAAACGCTGCATTTGTATGCACCTGTCCTAAGTCAGGAGCCTGTTGTTCAGTGGTTGTCGTTTGTTGGTGTGGTTCATAGGTGTTTCTCGTTTCTCGTTTTTTGTATAGATTAGACCGTTGGTTTTCCTCTTTGTATTGTTTTACACTAGTCATTTTGGGGCCCTTTATAGCTTGCTGTTTGGTGTGGGCCAATGCTCCGTGTTGAAGTCCGTACTTTGACCTACAATTTTTAACTTTCTATACATTGTGACTTGGATGGAGAGTTGTCTCATTGGCACTCATACCACATCTTCTTATTTATTATGACAAAAGCGTTAAACTTGTATGAACATGATCATTTCCATTTTTATAATAATGCAACAAAACTTCTAATGAAATTACTTATCAGAACTTCCCATTCTAACTGTTTCTTATATTAGTCTTGCTCATACAAATTATGTTATTATTTCAGACAATATGAAATTATTTTATAATAATTTGACAGCTCAATTACATAAGTATAATCTTTACACCTTTATCAATGTTTTTATCTTTTAGGGACCTGTCGTCGAACAACATAACTTCTATATGCAATAAAACGTTTACCGGACTAACCAATGTAAACGAAATGTAAGCGTGATATACTATACTGTATATTCCTTTATTTTCATTGACACCAGTATTCCAAGATTAAGTGGCGCGGGGGAATTCGATGTTACAAGATTTTTTTTTTGGACACTAAAATTCGTTGTTCACTTATACACGAGAAGTCCACGAAAATTACTACTCGACTAATATAATGCGCCCACAGTATTATTAGATTGAATATGTTCCGTATAAAAATCTGTATTCACCACGGATGCTCAATGTTTCCTTATATTTAGTTATTTTTTTTAACATCAAACCTCGTTTTGGAATATGCTTTGAATTAATTACCGGGGTTGCGTTCAATATCGTAGCGGCTACATAGGGCTACGTAGATTTATGACTATTGAACGTGAAGCTAGCCTAGATGCTACATAGATATTGATAGCAGCTAGGCTAGCTACTCGTTCAATAGTCATAAATCTACGTAGCACAACGTAGCCACTACGATATTGAACGCAACCCTGATAAAGGTTTTACATATGCCGATATGGTTTAGACTATGACAGTTTGTTTTCTTTCACTATACATGCTATACTCTGCAGCTGAACGTTCGATTATTTTACATTATATAAGCTTGGTTTTTAATATTAGATTTTTTTTTAATTTATTTTTATAGTATTTAGGTGCAGAAATGAAAAACTACAGTTTATATCAGAAAACTTCATCAATATAAAAGTCAAAGTGTTAGTCGGAAAATATCTATATAACTTTAAAAAAAGTTGAACATTAAGATTACATCATATTTTTATGCAGCATTACTTCAAACTCTCATTCCGGAAATTCTAAAGATTACATAATCTAGTACAAAATAACTACCGCGTCCATTTATTTTTATCCTTCCTCCCACTGTTTACTCATGAGGCTTGTAGAAAATACGAACAAATACGATGATATATCGTACAGAATCATTATAGAACAAAGAATATGTTCAGTTAAACTATGCACAAAACAAATTAAACACAAAACTTTATAAAACTTTAATAAAGTTTGTCCGATTAAATCTTTATCGCCTATCTTTTCCCATTGATCTTTCCTTGGTCTACAAACTTATCATTGTCCACTCAAAATCTTATAGCTCGCTGCCTTATTATCTCATCCTTTTTGTTCTTTAAAAATAATTGAAAATAAAAAACTGTAAAGTTTATTTTTGCACATTGAAATCAAAATTATAAAGAATACAGCTACTTTAATAAACACGCGCGTGGTCCCCTTTTTAAACGAATAAACGGAAGACTCAAAACAAATTAACCTAAATAGACATCTGGAGGTAACAATACGGTCTTAGCCATGACCGAATGACCACAGACACAAATGTCACGAAATTCTTTATGAAAAAAAAAAAGATAACTGAATCAAACTTTAAACAGTCTCTTAAACAAATAGTTCGGTTAGACTAGTTGGTGTGCAACTCAAAGAAAGAACTTGACTATGCGAACGAATACACTTTTCTTTAAAATGTAAACCATTTTTTGAAATGGTTTGTATATCTGATAAAGTAATAACAGGCACCTTTTCACTGAAAACAAAATTTTAACTATTTATATGTTAACTATCGTATATTTTTGCACATTGACAGAAAACACGTGAGCAACCCTTTTTAAACGAATAAGCGAAATACCAAAGCATAATTCAACAAAAATAGATGACATCTAGAGGTAATCATTCGGCCTTAAGCAATGTCCAAGTGACCGCAGACATTCATTTATGTATACAAATTCTTATAAAAGGAAAAACTATGTAAGCGACAACTGAATCACACCATAAACAACCCCTTAAACATATAGCGAGGTAAGACTGATTGTGAGAACTCAAAATGAGCATGCACTTGACATTTTTCAAAATGTATGTCATCTTCGAAACAAATAAGTACAGATATTATAAATCTATAACAGGAACCCTTTCACTGGATACTATTAGTTATCTTGATGTAATCAGGGGTGTACAGAATTTTACACCGTTGTTGAAAAATCATACACCCTGAGGCGCAGCCGAATGGGTGTATGAATTTTCAACAACGGTGTAAAATTCCGTACACCCCTTATTTCACCAAGATAACGAATTTATTTCTTGCGAACAATTCCTTTACTCATTTTTAAACCAGGATGTAAAATTGAAAAATGGTAATGAAAAATTTGCAGTGTAACATTTTTTTCAACGTCGATGTTCCTTCGAATTGTCAAATACTTTTTTTCTTTTTGGGGGGAAATTCAGAAAATTTGTGTTTTCTTTTGAATTTTCGGGAAAAAATTTTTTTATAAATATTTTTTTTTTATTCTTTTCAATTTTTTTCCTCAAATTTAATTAATTTTTTTTTTTTTTTTTTTTTTTTGCATTTTATCTTTTTTTCTTTATTTTGGCAAAATTTTATTTTTTTTAAATTTTTTGGCAAAAATTTTATTTATCCCGGGGTGAACAAGGGTGGGGTGTTATTTGCACCGGGGTAATTAACCAATCAGATTGCAGTATTTTTGCTGCATAAAAAATAAACAGATGTAACCATCGTTCCTGGTTTTTTAATTTCTATTCTACATTTACCAATTCATTACAGTTAACAACAATATGTATACGCTTACAATTTTTTAACAATTTTCATATTAAAGAAATAATCTAGTTTCTTGTAATCGAATGAACCGCTCATTACTTAGGCATTTCAGTTGGTCCATATTTTTCGTCAATCTATTAAATCAATATCTGGTTTGAAAGGTTAAAACTTATGTAATTCAAAACGAGATGATCTACTCGTCTTTTGATTTTTTTAATTGTTATTTATCAGGCCAAACAAGTCGATTCAAACACGCATGGACGTGAAAGGTGTGCACGATTTACTCATTTTGCGTATTTCTACGATTTAATTTCTCAAGAAACTTATAACAATCGCCTATCTTCTAGTGTAAAAAGAATTTATGAGGGTGCAGTTTTAAGATCAACAATCATTTGCACCTGCTATAACTTTGTAAATTTTAGACTTAACATTAAAAGAAAATACGATTAATAAAATGTATTCTGTAACCGAGTCCATGTGAACATATATCTTATGGTGTCCTCTGGCTATCCCAACATTTTGAAATTTCCTAATCTATCTTTTTTCTGACAAGGAAAGAAAATTGTTCTTATTGCAAAATATGTTGTTTAAGTCATTAGTGTCTATTGAATATCAGGTAAACTTACATATTTAAAGTTAAGAGAATGCGTTCAAATTTCTTTAATGGATAATACATTTAAAACTTTTTATTAAATAATAAATAATATTTACTCTTTTTGGGAAAACAAATTTTCAAGATGTTACAATTTTAGCGTTCATAAAACAATTGCATTATTCAAAAGGACGAGAGAATTAAATTATCTAATCGTAACTAAACTAAAATACCAGCTTCAGCATTAAATAAAAACCATTCTCAACTATCAGTACGTTATTATTTATTTCTAAAAGGATTTCATAATTAATAAAGAGCTGCGCCATGAGCGCATGATACGCCCGTCGCTTTAACGAGAATAAAGTTCCATTACTCCTCAATGTCATATCAGAAATTTATAAAACACTAAAGGGAGGTTATCTTAATAGATAAAAACCAGTCACCAAAGTTGATCAAAGTTTCATGAAAACTGCTCAAAGAACTTTTGAGTTATTGTCCGAAAATTGGAAAACCCCCCTTTTTTAATAAATAAAACCCCATAACTCAGAAACGTATAATCTAAAATTTATAAAAATCGAAAGGGGGCTCACATTAATAGATATTAACAATTCATCAAAGTTTCATGAAAACTGCGCAAAGCATTTTTGAGTTATTGTCCGAAAACTGGATAATCCCCCCTTTTTAATGAATAAAACCCCATAACTCGGAAACGTATAATCTAAAACTTATAAAAACCGAAAGTGAGCTCACATCAATAGATATAAACAATTCATCAAAGTTTCATGAAAACTGCTCAAAGCATTTTTGAGTTATTGTCTGAAAACTGGAAAATCCCCCCTTTTTTAATGAATAAAACCCCATAACTCGGAAACGTAAAATCTAAAATTTATAAAAATCGAAAAGGAGCTCACGTCAATAGATCTAAACAATTCACCAAAGTTTCATGCAAATTGGTTAAAGCGTTTTTGAGTTATCGTCCGACATGTTGACAACGGACGGACGGACAGACGGACGGACAACGGGCGTATAAAATGATTAACTATAATAACAAAATCATAAATATTTTGAAAATAAATGTTGCAGTAATAAATATAACTATTTGATCAATCTTAGCCAAGTAATTTGAGCATAATTAACATAGAATTATCTGTGACAATTTAGTGCTGTGTTCAATCAGAGGTTAGTGCCTCTGGAACATTATTGGTATGTTTCAATGACAATTAAATACTGTGTAAATGTTCCTCTCTTGTCGTTTGACATTATTTAATCATAACTTTTTAAATGTTTTCATCTCTAATAATTACTATTAATCATGTATAACATTGTACTATTCGAATTTTTTTTTTTTTTGCTCATAAAGCATAAACCACAAGTTTAACCTGGATTATTATATATAATCTTGGTTCATTAGTAAGTGTTGTTACAAATTAATATAACATTATCACTTTTTTACACAATAATTATAAGAACCCCAACATGAATTTCTTAAAATTGTAACAAATTAAAAATGTTAGAATAGACCATATCATTTATGAGAAAATATTCAACTTTCTAAATTTGACTTACATTTTAAGAGAAAAAGTATTCGTTTTCACTTTAAAATACTCTGTAGAGTATTCATAAACTAGTTTTACATCGTTTAAGATCTAAGGGGGCTGTTCTATTTCCCAAATTCCAGTCAGTTGTCGCTTGCTCTTCCTGTCTATTTTCCAGTAAAATTTAGGCATATGTTTGTTGAATTTATTAATAACTTGTTCTTTCAATTATAACGTAAATGTTTACAGCTGTATAGTTGCTTCATATAAAAGAAAGAAGATAGTGTACGATTGCCAGTGAGACAACTCTCCACCACAGTGAAATAACTATAGTTCATCGTACGGCTTTCAACAATGATCGAAACCCATACCGCATAGTTTTGCATAGTAGATGTTTTCTTTATCATTTCCTTTTTCATTGTGAGAAATAAATTCGATAACTAAACTTTTTCAGATTGTCTTAAGAGAAATGGTGGTACTGTAATATATGAGAAGAACAAGAAGATAAATTTAGCTAGTTGTTTTAATAATTCAAATTCTCACCACTTTGATTCTGTTAAAAACAAACTGTTGTCTAAAAAATGATTAAAGTAAAAGCCCCTCTGAGGGTTAATGAAGATAGAACTGAGTAAGAAAGAGAGAAGAAACGATATGGAAATAAATCAAGGAAATAAAACAAGATATGTTATGTTAATATTAAGTATTATTAATAGCCATTACTTTTTAAAGTTTTTAAAGTTACATTTGTCACAAAAATATTTTCATATTTCGTTTTGTAGTATTTACTAATAGACGAAATTGTATACGTATTTTGTTAATTTTTAGCCGACTTCAAGAAAGTTCAATTAGGTCTATATGCAGTGGAACTTTTGCTGAGCTAACAAATTTAAAAGAGATGTAAGTATAGTGTATAAGCATCAATTTAGTGAGCGTCTAGTAATATAAAATTGCTGATGTATACTGCACTAACCGTTACGTATGGTACTTTTTTTGTCCATGAAGGTTTATTCAGATTAACATTGACTTCAATGATTATTCAGGTCGACTGGGCTTTTTCAGGTGATCGTTGTCTTGGTGACATAGCCAGGTCGATTTCAATTATTCATAGATTTGTTGCCTTATTAGCATATTCAGGTCGACTTGGCTTACTTAGTCTTCGTTAACTTATTTCACATTGTCTTTCAAATTTTCAATGGACAACAGGTGTTTGATGGATTTATTACTAAATTATTATGAGAACGACGTTGCTAAAAAGTCATTGCAAGGATAAACTTGTCTGAACGTCGCTATTAGGGCACACTTGTCTAGAATTAGTAAAGGCGGTATGGTTACGACTAGAATATTTGAAAGTTATTCTATTAGAATGAAAGTGTTGCTCACAAACGTTTTATTTATTTGGCATCGAGCATACCTTATTAGCCATAATTTATTCATTAGTAATTACAAAAGGTAAAAAAAAATACCGACTTCTTATGATCGCTACACTTACAGCACTTTTCAGTCAATGTTAGAGAAATACTATTTTCTTAATGGATACACATCTAAATACGTGGTGGTTATATTAAAAGTTTAACAGCTAAGTCATTGCAAATATTAACTTAATATCAATTCTCTCTACAAATGTAAAGTTCGGCTTGAGAAAATATATAAAGTATTACCTTCTCAAATGTATGCAGAAGTACAAAAATACTGTTACTATCCAACGTTATTGGTACAATTATAAGAAAATGTTGGAGTTTCCAGAATTATTGTGTTACATTCCCATCATAGATAATGATAGGACATTACATGTCATGGCTTTTTCAAAGAAAAGGAGTGGCAGTTAATTTCAACGTACATATGAATTAAAAACTTAGATAATCTTTCCCTACTTATTGCACTTTGTATGATAAAAAGAAACAGCTAACTATTTACAGAAACAGCCATACGATGACCTATAGCTGTTAATTTCTACATGTATGTCATTTGGTCTCTGCTGAGAGTTGTCTCATTTGCAATTATACCATATCTTCTTATTCTTATATTGTTCTTTCTAAGTATGTATGATCATGTGATCAGTTCGGAAAAGATATTAACCGGCACATTCTTTTAACTATTCATTCTAAGAAAACCCATGGTACGAGATGTTGTGTTGACCATACAAAATTTGACAAATATGCCCAAGTAAATTACTTATCATCAAAAAATGAAAACAGCACTTTATAAATTGTATGCGTCCGAAGCGCTTTTTTTAATTGACCTACATCAGAAAGCTCAAAAGCAAATATTTGAAAGCGAAGGATGTATAAGTAAAAAGACACACGAGGAGCTTTATGACAATTAAGTACGGACTTTAAAACAATGTCAAATTCATAAAGTTTTGCCTCAGAAAGTTGGTACCTTAGTTTCTTAAAATGTTTTTGATCCATAAAGGAAGATTCAAGAAAGTTATGTTATAGGTCATGTCAATACCAAAGCACTAATTGCTTAGCTGGTAATACATCAGGGACTAATAGTCCACCAGCAGCGGTATAGACCCAGTGCTATCACGAATGTAAATAACAGTTTGTTTTATGCGTCCGTAGAACTATCCTTGGTTTACCTTGTTGTCAAGTTAAATGCTGCCAATCTAATCTTTACAAAATTCTGTAGAGATTTGGAAGATAACGAGAACACCATGGAATGCTGTGAAGTACAAAGATTTATCACATGGATACAACAGAATCCGTCAATAAAAGTTCATGGTAAATGTAGACATCAATCTCAGTCAACAGTAATCCAAACATTTACTGTAACCGAGTGTCCTCCTCCAGGTAAGTAATTCTGTAAACTAAAACATGGCAGTATATTTTCCTCCTTGCACGTACTATGTTGGTTGAATTCGGTAAAGTTAATTAGTGATTAGAATATATTTTCAAGATGATGAAAGACTCCTATTTTTCTTTCAATCACGAACAAGTTACTTTTCATCTGTGCTCGATTCACCCTCTGAAAAAAAATATAAAATTGATATGTGTCTTCAAGAAATTCAAACAAGTTTGATATGTAATTTCTTGCATGAAGCTTTTGTTATAGTTATTGACGATTCACCTGCACGGATGATTTGCAAATGAAGATTTTAAATTGCTCATGTTTCTGACATAAGACAAACAAAATAGTTCTCTGTAGCAAGGTTAACAATTGGTAAATGTAGTGGTTGTGTTGATGCCCTTTTGGCCTTGATGCTTCTAAATGGTTAAGTATGCGAATCCCGTGGGCCCAAAATTGTGGTCAAGAGAGTACAACAGTCCTTGTATACTAGATTAACCTCCAACATTGTTTGTTTGTTTCTTCTAGAAATTTGATAACAAGTTCTAGTAATAATAGTAATTTAATAACTATTACTTAAATGAACAATTGCCGGTTGAGAGTACTGGATGAAGAGTATCCTAGAAAAATGCATCTTGCACATTTTTAAAAATCGATATCATAAAATTGAGAATGGAAATGGGGAATGTGTCAAAGCGACAACAACCCGACCATAGAGCAAACAACAGCCGAAGGCCACCAATGGGTCTTCAATGGAGCAAGAAACTCCCGCACCCGGAGGCGTCCTTCAGCTGGCCCCTAAACAGATATTATTTATAGTACACCCTTCAGTCGAATGTTGACTTTTAGATCCCTTAGTTACCCGCTCAAATGGAACATTTTGTTGTAAAATAATTATTTTATGTAGTATGTAATTGTACTTACGTTAAGGGTACAACTCCCTAGACAAAATTGACCTTGGATGAATTTGGTTGTCCTTTTTTTACATAACTTTATTTATTCATTTCATATTTTTGTGGATCGGAGATTAGTTGCCGAAATGTTTCTTGTATTTTGTCAGAGATCTTACTTGATAAAATGACTGATCAGGGCTATTTAGGCAAACTAGAAACAAATAAATATAATGGCACTTGACCAGTCTTATTTGAGAAAATACCTGTAGAGCTTATATCATATGTTTATATTATTCGTGTCAATGTATTGTATAGTTTATGGTTGTTGGACTTATTTTGGACCATGGGGAGTTTGTTCTAAAACATGTGGTGGAGGACAACAGTCCAGAACTAGAACATGCACTAATCCTCCTCCAGCTCATGGTGGTGACGAATGTCAGGGAAGTTATCAGCAGATTAAATCTTGTCAGGAACAACACTGTCCAGGTATGAATTAATATAAGCAGCTGAAGTGTAAATCCAATGTACTGATGTTACGTGTTATATATAATATTTTCATGGGATGGAACGCCTAATCGATGATTCAGCTAGATTTTCAAAGATTCGGGTCAACGTTCAATTTAATGAAAAATTATTCGATACATTTGTTTACAAGTTAAGTAAAAATGTTAAATTCCTTCAGAACGTTTATCATGTTTAGAGAGGAAGGTGGAAAATGTCCTGTCATTGGTTCTAATTCACTGCGAACAAATCCATGCAAAATAATTTGCTTGTAAAATCACTGGGATTTGTTTTAGTTTTACTCCAATATAGTAGCAACCCAACAGTATTTGGCACAAAAATTATCTCAAGATAACAATACTGTCTTAATCAATTGACATTGTCTTTCCCATATGACAAGCTAAATTACCCGATTTTAGATTAATCATTCATTACGTAGGCGCAATAAGACCAATTCTAGATAAGTACTTGTAGTTCATCAAATTTATAAGATAGTAAAAAAGTACATCAACAAAAAATTTAAAAATCGAACATTGAAACAAATAAATTCTAGTACTAGACAACCGCTACTTATGTACCTTACTTTACACAGATACAACCAAATAGTTGACTGGATTAAAGTATTTTTTTAGATTTTTCTTTGGGTTAAGATTTTAGCTTAGGCAATACGAACTCTTTTTATAACAGACGGACTTTTAGTTATAATTATGAATAAAAGGAAAGTAAGGGAATAAGTCAATGGGACGGCAAATTAATGACTCGAACAACCAAATACCATCTACGTTAATGAGACGTCAAAGTAACGACTCGAACAACCAAATACCATCTAGTGAGTACGTTAATGAGACGACAAATTAACGACTCGAACAACTAAATACCATCTACGTTATTGAGACGTCAAAGTAACGACTCGAACAACCAAATATCATCTACGTTAATGAGACGGCAAAGTAACGACTCGAACAACCAAATACCATCTACGTTAATGAGACGACAAATTAACGACTTGAACAACCAAATACCATCTACGTTAATGAGACGGCAAAGTAACGACTCGAACAACTAAATACCATCTACGTCAATGAGACGGCAAATTAACGACTCGAACAACCAAATTCCATCTACGTTAATGAGACGGCAAAGTAACGACTCGAACAACCAAATACCATCTACGTTATTTAGACTGGTTCCCTGTCCTTTATCTGTTTGACTCTGACGAGATTTTCGTTAACAAAGCCAAAAGTTAGAAAAAGTCAAATCCGAGACCATAGAAAACCTTTTTATGTCCAGTAAAAAGCTCTATTAGAATTTCTCCACATAAAAACTGTCATATGTTGCCGTCAATCCTCATCTCCTGATGTATATACAGTATTATTTAATAAGTTTGATGTGTCTTTGATGAATCTACATTAATTTCATCATGGGATTGTAATTACAGGTACCCCAGAATATGGGTAAGTTACTATTGAAATTCGGTGGACAAAATGTGGTTCTCTGTTTAAACAAAGAGTTAAACTTAAGGATACGCCCGATAAAGGCTGCGCCCTCTAGCGTTCTATAGATCTTCGCATGTTTAGGTTTTATAACATATTTGGCTTTAAAATGTTTGGGATTGAGCGTTCCTGATGAAGTAAATTCAGAAAAGCGCTCTAGACGCACGAAATTAAAAAAAGTGTTATTTTCATTAATTATATATTACTTAGTTAGTAGTTAAAACATGTAAATTGTATGTGTAATATGATCAATGGCAATCGTGCTGTATCAACCATCCGTGATTATATCGATATCAGTCACGGTTGCAAAGGCTTTATCACACCCTTAATCTGTATGACGTCATGTCATCGACAAGAGTCACCGTTGCAGAGGCTTTATCAAACCTCTAATCTGTATGACATCACGTCACATAAAAAAATTCTACTTGAGATATATAATAAAGTGTATATGATATGGTTTTTTTCAATATCACACACCGTATCCACCCTCAACCAATAAAATCCCTCGAGCAGAGCTCTTGGGATTATATTGGTGTCTCGGGTTGATACGGATGTGATATTGGAAAAGCCATATAATATTCTCTATTTATTGAACTAATTTTTCATCAATTGTCTACCATTTTCCTCTACTGACTCCTTTTGAGTAAAAGGTAAACCTCTGATAAGATTATCGATTTTAGACCAGACTTACTGTCCTCCGTACTACCATTCGGATCTCGGCTGGCTATGTCTTATATAGTAAGAATCGGAAAACATTGATACTGTTAGCCAAAGTCGATATCATGGGTGTTCATTTTACGCATTTATATAACCCGACTTCGAATTAGGTGTTACTGAGGTCTTTATATTGGTCGCCCAATTCATTTTTTAGTAGAAATGAATTAGTCTCAAAAAAGTCCCACACGGAGAGAGAAAAACATTTATCCCCGGCTTAGTATATTTCTAGGATTTTGATTGGTTAACGCACGTCGTTACAAAACCCATAGCCCCTGGGTGTTGCTAACCCATAAACCCGGACGTTGCTATCCATTACCCCGGTGGACGTCACGCGCGTTTTCCTTAGTTCCATGGTTGTTCCTTGTGAAATATAGAATTCTGTAGAATATCCATGATGTCTGTAATTAAATATTTAATCAACTAACGATTTTATCTTATTATGTCGATCATTTGCACTCATTTAAGTAAATGCATCACTTGGCTGCCACATTGTCATTGAATTGAACTACTGACCTAGCTATGCAAATGACCCACACCGTCTATGATGTAACTCTCACAACATTGAGCGCCAAATTCGACCCATTCCAGTTTCTCTGTCTCCGGATTAAAAACGTCTTATATTTGAATACCTGTAGGGTTCTACCACAGGTACCCTACACCCCGTAAAAAATATGTCGAATTCCCAAATTTCAATATAAGATTTATATAAAATGAAAAAAACGTTGCTTTCACGTTACACTTTGTGGTCGAATTTCTCTAAAAATGGCCAGATTTGGACTAAGACCGGGGATAAATTCGTTATCTACGTTCATATCCGTAGATATGGATATTTTAACACCCTTCAGTACCCTGTACACCATTCGGCTTCGCCTCAGGGTGTACTTGGATACTTCAGGGTGTTAAAATATCCATATCTACGGATATGAACGTAGATAACTTATAGTAACGTCGTGACGGCGAGCGACTTCAAAATCGTTTTTCTGGTTATTAAACTTTGTTTTTATACCAATGAAAAAAACAGCAAAAAACGAATCTGGTGACCCTCTTATATATTTTCGTATCATAAAACGGAAATATCAAAACTAATAACGTATCATTTAAAATTAAAAAAAGTGTTAATTTCATTAATTATATATTACTTAGTTAGTAGTTAAAACATGTAAATTGTATGTGTAATATGATCAATGGCAATCGTGCTGTATCAACCATCCGTGATTATATCGATATCAGTCACGGTTGCAAAGGCTTTATCACACCCTTAATCTGTATGACGTCATGTCATCGACAAGAGTCACCGTTGCAGAGGCTTTATCAAACCTCTAATCTGTATGACATCACGTCACATAAAAAAATTCTACTTGAGATATATAATAAAGTGTATATGATATGTTTTTTTTCAATATCACACACCGTATCCACCCTCAACCAATAAAATCCTTCGAGCAGAGCTCTTGGGATTATATTGGTGTCTCGGGTTGATACGGATGTGATATTGGAAAAGCCATATAATATTCTCTATTTATTGAACTAATTTTTCATCAATTGTCTACCATTTTCCTCTACTGACTCCTTTTGAGTAAAAGGTAAACCTCTGATAAGATTATCGATTTTAGACCAGACTTACTGTCCTCCGTACTACCATTCGGATCTCGGCTGGCTATGTCTTATATAGTAAGAATCGGAAAACATTGATACTGTTAGCCAAAGTCGATATCATGGGTGTTCATTTTACGCATTTATATAACCCGACTTCGAATTAGGTGTTACTGAGGTCTTTATATTGGTCGCCCAATTCATTTTTTAGTAGAAATGAATTAGTCTCAAAAAAGTCCCACACGGAGAGAGAAAAACATTTATCCCCGGCTTAGTATATTTCTAGGATTTTGATTGGTTAACGCACGTCGTTACAAAACCCATAGCCCCTGGGTGTTGCTAACCCATATACCCGGACGTTGCTATCCATTACCCCGGTGGACGTCACGCGCGTTTTCCTTAGTTCCATGGTTGTTCCTTGTGAAATATAGAATTCTGTAGAATATCCATGATGTCTGTAATTAAATATTTAATCAACTAACGATTTTATCTTATTATGTCGATCATTTGCACTCATTTAAGTAAATGCATCACTTGGCTGCCACATTGTCATTGAATTGAACTACTGACCTAGCTATGCAAATGACCCACACCGTCTATGATGTAACTCTCACAACATTGAGCGCCAAATTCGACCCATTCCAGTTTCTCTGTCTCCGGATTAAAAACGTCTTATATTTGAATACCTGTAGGGTTCTACCACAGGTACCCTACACCCCGTAAAAAATATGTCGAATTCCCAAATTTCAATATAAGATTTATATAAAATGAAAAAAACGTTGCTTTCACGTTACACTTTGTGGTCGAATTTCTCTAAAAATGGCCAGATTTGGACTAAGACCGGGGATAAATTCGTTATCTACGTTCATATCCGTAGATATGGATATTTTAACACCCTTCAGTACCCTGTACACCATTCGGCTTCGCCTCAGGGTGTACTTGGATACTTCAGGGTGTTAAAATATCCATATCTACGGATATGAACGTAGATAACTTATAGTAACGTCGTGACGGCGAGCGACTTCAAAATCGTTTTTCTGGTTATTAAACTTTGTTTTTATACCAATGAAAAAAACAGCAAAAAACGAATCTGGTGACCCTCTTATATATTTTCGTATCATAAAACGGAAATATCAAAACTAATAACGTATCATTTTTAAACACTGCTATAGACAGAAAAGTAAAAAAATGCATTTTTCGACGCATTGTACGTACATAATATACATGTAATGTATTTTTTTTTACCAAATTTTATAGATTGTATCACTGGAAGTATAAGTGCTACATGTATCACTTTTTTCTATTATTTACATCGGTTCAATGAGTTCTAAATGTCTAAATGCATGCAAAATATAATCAAATTCCGAAATACGTTTTTCTTCTGTGTATTGTTTTATTATCTGACGTTTGTTTTGTGTAGTTTTTTTAGCTCACCTTTCCTTAAAGGCCAAGTGAGCTTTTCTCATCACTTGGCGTCCGTCGTCCGTCGTCGTCGTCGTCGTTAACTTTTAAAAAAATCTTCTCCTCTGAAACTACTGGCCCAAATTTAACCAAACTTGGCCACAGTCATCATTTGGGTAAAAATAGAACATAGGGATAAAATATAGATTTTGGCTTATATCTCTGAAACCAAAGCATTAAGAGCAAATCTGCCATGTGTAAAATTGTTCATCAGGTCAAGATCTATCTGCCCTGACATTTTCAGACAAATCAGACAACCCGTTGTTGGGTTGCTGCCCCTGAATTGGTAATTTTAAGAAAATTTTGCAGTTTTTGGTTATTATCTTACATATTATTATAGATAGAGATAAACTGTAAACAGCAATAATGTACAGCAAAGTAAGATCTACAAATGAGTCAACATGACCAAAATGGTCAATTGACCCCTTAAGGAGTTATTGCCCTTTATAGTCAATTTTTAACAATTTTTTGTAAATTTTTGTAATCTTTTACAAAATCTTCTCCTCTGAAACTACTTAGACAAATTTAACCAAACTTGGCCACAACCATCATTAGGGTATTTTATTTAAAAAATGTGTCCGATGACCCCGCTTACCAACCAACATGGCCGACATGGCTAAAAATAGGACATAGGGGTAAAATGCAGATTTTGGCTTATATCTTTCACTTTAAAATCACAAAAATGATCAGCATGGCAAGATCTATTAAAAAGTCAAATTTTGCCGATATAGTTAGTAGACTGTCACTCTTCATAGGAGTGATTGCCCTTAAATGAGGATTTTTTTTTACCCTCTTTTGTGTTTTGAGCAAAAACTAAAGAAGATAGAGAGAAACTAAACAGATTAAAAGATCAGTAATACAAGATCAACAAAATAGAGATTTTTGCCAAGAAGTCTTTTCTCGTCTACAATGTTGGAGAGTGTCCTTTGTTTGATATGCACATAGACCAAGGTGAGCGACACAGGCTCTTTAGAGCCTCTAGTCTTTTTTTTATCGTGATGCTGTTTTCCATTTCCTCTTTTAAATTTATTAAAGTATCAATTGCTGCTTGGTAACGGTAGGTTTTTCCAAATGGGTCGATCCGAATGAAGTGTGGTACATTCGCCTGCTAATTGTTGAAAAAATTATGAAAGTTTTCATTTTGCAGACTAATCCCTTTAGGGATTTAGAGTCCAAAGCGATTTCACCGATTTGGATGCCAACCGAATTAAAACCCGTTAAACTGGATTTGGGAAAAGTAAACGATCGCACGTAGAAACGGCGCATTTAACACCTACACCACCATTCCTTAAACATGTAGACGCTGAAATTCAGGCAGATTTTTCCTTTCGGTATTTGTTAAAAATTGAAAATATCTTATCCTTAACGATCGTTATAATTTTTTTTTTTTGGTAAATACAGAAAATATAGTATCGCTTCAATAACTGCTTTAATTTTTTTTTGTGTCTTTGACCAGAAGCGTTTTTCTCATTTGCACATGAAAACTAGCTGGAAGAATCATAAAGGAATTCTGCTTCCAATAGTGCTTGTCAAAATCAGAAAATTGATTTGGTTAAAAAATGACGTAAAATGTTTTGTTGTTTACAGTACTGACATAAGCGCTTATACATTAAGCTGATCAATGAACCGTAACGTAAAGGTTAAGTATCAAGTGACAACAACTTCGCCATAATTGTCCACGAATTAACTATGCTTTGTTTACCTTCTTAAATATCAAACTTTATGTAAGTAGTTTAAGCCGTTGTCGCCGGCTAAGCATATCCAGTGTCTCACATTCTGAGATTTCCTCGCAGTCTGGACATTGTGAATGTATTTTATTGAGACTATCAAAGATATGTACAGATTGGATAATACTTAGTCATGTTTTATGAATATTTAAAGCCCGAGGCATAGCCGAGGGTTTTAAATGTTCATAAAACATGACCAAGTAATGTCAGACCAATTTAGAACATATTCGCAGCTTCGAGAGACAGTACAAAATAAACCTCCCGTTGTAATAATCAATCCTTAATATGAGCTCACTTAAGTGTTAACATGGTAGATGGAATGAAATAGCAATGAGATAGTTTTGTGATAACTAAAAAGGATAAATTATTAAAAAATGGAGATTTCTTCCGCTTCAGGTACAATTAATACTCATACATCTAAAATTCCTTCATTTTAAAAAGAACACAATGTTATATAAATCAGTTTTTCTAAAATTGCTTAATTTTTGATAACGTCAAAACTCATCAATACATTTTAAAACCGACGATCGTTTCAACATCAATAGCTTACTTTTTTGTCAGTATATTTTTTTCTTTTTAGATCAACAATATCTTTTTTTTTTCTTAAAAAGAACCCATTGATTTTAAGGTCTCGTATACAAGTTAGATTAAATATTATTTTACCCACACATTTGCCCCCTTTTTTTTTGTTTTCGTTCTTAAATGTATAATTATATAACGTTTACAACATTAAAATCTCAACTTAGCATGCTTTTATAGTTCTATTCTCCTGTTATCATTTAATATATTCAGACAAACAACAGTACTCGTGTTTTTTTACTTTGCTCTTTTTCTATGGAAATTGCCTCAGGGGATTGTACACTTCGTTTGTGCAGTTTTTAAGCGTTCACTTTCGTAATTAATCTATTCATGTATAGCATTTTATAGTGCATGGAAAGCCATGTACTATGAAAAATAGAAGGCAAAATACTGATTTTCCATTGGACGAGAATGGGTGAGTATGTTCTGAGTTATCAACACGAATTCTCTACATACACCCCCAAATGGACAATTACGTTAAAGTATAACTTAAGACAATCACTGATGACGTTGTTCTAACCTTAGTCAGGAACATTTAGCAGGGTTAAGTAAGAATTTAGGTCAGATCTTGACCCTTTTAATCGAGATCAATGGAAGAGGGTCAGAATGAGGTCCTTCACTTCTGTATTCTTTAGTCATTTAGGTCGTTCTTTTTCCATTCGTTATAATTTTTGTCCATCATTCTCCATTTTCTATATTTTGCACCCATTATTCTCTATTCTCTTAATTTCAGCACCCCATTGTTCTCTATTTTACAAACCCCATTCAGACCCTCATGGAATAACAACAGGTACATACATGTAGTAAATATAATTGTGTTCTTACAAATTCAAAAGTGTTCTCTCTCTTTTTAGAAACAAAGGAAAAGGAAAGTGGTACAATCGTCTTTTTAATTTCTTAAAAAAGATGGTAGAAAGCGGCATTATCTCATTTCAATGGTAGAAAAAAAAGAGCATTGTGGGACATATTACATGTTTCCTTTGTGCTATTTATTGCGGGAATGTTCATTAAGTTGCCTACATTAACACATATATTGTGGATCATATAGAAAAGCAAATATTGTTATTTTTTTTTATTTAGGAGAGCATTCATGGTCTTTTTAATTTTGAAAAGCATTCTGATTGGGATTTTTTTTTATTTAGGGGACGCATTGTTGGCCTTTATTTGGGGAAAGCATTCAGGGTCTTTTATATTGTATGTATTTTCACAAAGATTTTTTTGTTTTACTTTCACACAAGCATTTGGGTATTACATGTATTTAGGAAAGCATTCGTGGTGATTGTCTATTATTTAAGAATGAAATTGTTATCTTTTGTTTAAAAGCATTCATGGTCTTAGTTCATTTAGGAAAACATGCATGGTCTTTTTATTTACGACAGCGTATATGGTCATTTTCATTTACAAAAGAAATCATTGTTTTCGAGTATGTCACAAGTCATTTGTAATTTTAAAATATATTTGAATCCTTTTTTCAAATACAAATGTATACAAAGTTTACGAAATTAAAAAAAAATGTTTCAGATCGTCATTTATTAACAACTGTTTTGATGCATAATTGTACATGTGAGACATTATTCTGTGTTTATAATTGTATTTGTATATAGAGGGAAACTGTTGGATTATTACAAATCACACATTTGTAGTATCGTAATTAACTTTTTTTTGTTGCTATTATTTATCAATGTTATTACATCTCCTTTCTATAACTGTAACACGAAAACAGGTTTATCACGTTGCTGTTTCTAAAAATTGTGAAAGGGTTAAAAAAAAACCAAGGCTTTTTGAAATCATTATAATGATATTTTTGTAACCGTCTTTTTCACCCAGCATTAAAATATTTTGGCCTTCTTTATATGATTAATTTTGAATTTGTCAGACATACCTGCACATTTAAATGAATACTGAAAGCAAAATCCCTGAAATCCGAATTTTATGACGGTATGAATAATTGCTGCAAATTTTTCAGCCACTTTGATACACAAATTATACTATGTTTCATTTTTTTTTTCGTATTTTCACCACATGATTTAAAAAAATCGGGTGAAAAAAGAGAACAAGTGTAAATCTACATAGAAAAATGTCACGTGATACAATTTTTTCCAATTCCACATTGAAACAACAACTATCTTGGAAACGTTTGCGATAACTTGGTTAGTCTTGAAAATGTATGATTTTTTTAACATATTTTCTTATGTGGTATATCTTGATTCTGTTTTTTTTTGTTTTTGTAATCTTGAATTTGGAATATTTGTTCACTATAGTCGCTTTATTTTTTATAATAAAATTTGGGTGAAAAAATCAATTATACCTTGAAGTTTTCGATGTTTAGCTTACCATTGATACGAATCGTTATCGTGGTATAAACATGCCTTCTCTTATAAAGAGAACAGATGTAGTATGATTGCCAATGACACGACTAGTAATAAATGTTTTCTGACCAAAGGACAAAAATGTGAACAATTAAAGGTCACGTACGATCTTCAACAATGAGCAAAACTCATACCGTGTAGTAAGCTATAAAAGTCAACAGGATGAAAAAATGGCAGACAATTCAAAAGAGACCAACATATCGGCCTGATTCATACTACAACAATAAATGAAAACAAAGTTATGGCAGACAGCAACAAACATTACAAACGAAAACAAAGTTATGGCAGACAGCAACAAACATTACAAACGAAAACCACTTACTTGCTGGCTCCTGTCTTGGGACGACATGCGCAAACACAACGTCGCAGGGTTAATAATAATAAAAAAAAAGGAGACGTGTTATGATTGCCAAGGAGATAACTATCCGACAAAGTGCAAACGAAGCGGATTTAAGACCGTATTGGTCACTGTACGACCGTCAACAATGAGCAAAACCACTGTCGTATATTCAGTTATAAAAGGCCCTGATATGACAAAACGTGAAACTATTCAAATTAGAAATGCAGGCTGATTTAGAAGACAAAAATAAACGAAAAACAAATAAGACAGACAGCAACTAACGACAACTACAGAAACAAACGGCTTCAGACTTTGGACAGACACCTATATGATTTGGAGGAGTTTAACATGTTTGTGAGCGCTCAAACCTCATCCTAATTCGGGATAATCGTGTAACAACACAACACATTAAAAATCAGTTGGAAAGAGCTTGACTCATCAGATTGCTACTAAGCCCAAAAAACCAATAACACAGAGAAAAAATACACAAAGGACCGATCTTGGAAAACTCGCAGTTACTAAAAGCTAGTCAAAGGCCCAAATACAACATATAAACAAACCATGCCGTATTCTCCTAGACGTAATTGTCAATCAGAACACTTCCAATGGATTTAGTTTAAAGACGACATAAACACTGTGAGTAAAGCACGACCTTGTCGAATACCAAATATAAGTAACGATAGAAAATAGGGCCATACGTGTTAATACCTAAATAGCAATACATGGACGGATATGTGTTAAACTCTTAAAAATAAAATTAATTTGAGTACCTATAAAGACAATATTCAAAGATCCTTCTACAATGCTTAATTGACAATGAGTTTATTTAAACAATAAGTTTATATGAGTCGTTGTCCTCCTTTCCTCGCTCATGGCTTGTCACGTGACTTGTTTCCTGGTGAAATTGTCATAAGCAACAAGACGTGTATCATTATAGGGTTAATCTGCCACACATAAAAGTCCCCAATAAGAAATCACGCCAGTGGATGGAATAATTTATTCCCTAATGTGTATGTCCTTTAAGCAATTTGTCTTCTGATCTCATCATATTGAACTAGAGATATTTGTCCTCTGCATGTATTTTTCATTTTTTGTTATATGCACTACGTCACCTTTATTTTAATTGTCCGAATCCGTAAGCATGATGGAATACACTTTAGGCTCATTCAGTTCAAAATGTCAATATCTTAGTCCTCGTTTTGTGATGGAAACATACATAAAAAGTCTTACACATTAACATCTAAAAAAAAAGGCCAACGGTATTTGAATGCTGGTACAACACTTGCAAGTGTAACAAATTGATGACAGATTAGAAATATAGGATTATATGAGCCTAGCTCTAGTCAGTTAACGTTTAGGCAAAAATATGTGGCCAACGAGAAGACTAAATATGTTGCCAACGAGAAGACTAAATATGTGGTCAACGAGAAGATTAAATATGTGGCCAATGAGAAGACTAAAAATGTGGCTAACGAAATGACTAAATATGTGGCCAACGAGAAGATTAAGTATGTGGCCAACCAGAAGACTAAATATGTGGCCACCGAGAAGACTAAATATGTGGGCAACCAGAAGACTAAATATGTGGCCAACCAGAAGACTAAATATGTGGCCATCGAGAAGACTAAATACGTGGCCAACGAGAAGACTTAATCTGTGGTCAATTAGAAGACTAAATATGTGGCCAACGAGAAGACTAAATATGTTGCCAACGAGAAGACTAAATATGTGGTCAACGAGAAGACTAAATATGTGGTCAACGAGAAGACTAAATGTGTGGGCAACGAGAAGACTAAATATGTGTTCAACAAGAAGACTTATCAAATGTCTAAATAACTTGATAGCATTGCCGATATTGTATCTATAAAATATAAAATCAATTTGTTATCATTGTCTTGAAAGTTGAGCCACCGAAATCTTTTTTTTTTTAAATTGTATAAAAGAAATCACCTTCGTAAAGAAATCAATCTTCCTGTGAAAAGGATGCGCAACATCATTTCTTTCTAATTTAATAAATCGTACTCATATAAATATTACAAAGAAAGTGCATTTTTACCATTAACCCTCTTACACATCGTGACAACATTCATATAAAACATCAATAAAAGCTATATAGTTAAAGCAATTAAATTAGTGTCTCCTCCATGACAGTCTTGAACAAGCTAGATATTAAATAAACGACACTGCTAATTTTTAGTGTTTGGTACAGGTTGGCTGTCACTGTGCAACACAGTTTAACAAAGAGCCCTATGGGGAAAAAAGAGAACCCTTTTTGTCAGAAAACACTGTCAAACATCCAAACTGATCTGTGTCCACACTTGTTAAAGCAACAACATATAAATGCGAAGAACACGAAAGCTACTTAATATGCGCACGACACAAGGATTTCAAGTTAAGTCATTATCTTTGTAATTTTGTCATTTGTTAAGATTAATTATAAAATTATATTGGTTAATGACATATATAAAAGGGTACAATATTCTACCTAGACTATATTCTATTCACAATACATACATGTAAACATCGTCAGGGACATGTATCTTACTCTGTGGAAGTTGGTTCTTGTTTTTCTTGTAACTTGTCACTTGTGCCAATATTTACTACAGGATAATTTGGTTTTCATCATAAACAAATATTTTAAAAGTATGATTCCTCTAATTGATATTTTGTATGTCTTTTTTTCAAATTAACGTTGGCTGTTTGGTTGCTGTCACATTAACGTCTTTATAATAAGTACAACTAGGTCAAGGATATCTTTATAATAAGTATAGCTAGGTCAAGGATACAGTGTAAAACTTAACTTTCCAATCATTTAATTTATATGATATTGTTGTGAAATCGTGTCCTAAATTTTCCATTTATTTAAAATTTATGTTCACAAATTATATAAGTTGGTTATTACAGAACATTGTATTTGTAATGTACTTTTGATAACCTTGCTGTTGGAAATTTATTAGGACATTCAACTGTCGACATTTTTATATATGAAGTCTTGATTTCTGTGACTCCAACATGGTAAAATCCGACCTGCGACCTTGAGGGTTAGACGGGCGACCTTGTGACATGATGTCTAATTTAAAAGGATCTGTGACCTTTAAAAATGTTCAACAACGAGAATTAGATTAGGTTAGAACTGTGTCGTTTGCCTAAAAGTGACATGGTGACCTGGGGCAATTTTTAAACGTGTGACCTTGTGACTTAATGGGGGTATCCTACTGGAGCCCCATTTCTACAGCGTCAACTCTAATACTGTCAGCTTGCTTTCAGTATTTCGCGAATCGATCGAGTGTAGTTTTAGCAATATTTTACTTGTAT